TCTCTAGAATATTCTCAATTTATCATTTTTATTCTAGGGTGGAGGGTTGTTTGCCCACCCCACCCCATTGACAATGGGCAAATTTGACTACACACCTCTTTCTCTTTCAGGCTTTTTTTCCTCCTCCTCTTCATTTTTTGCTTTTTTGAAGGGGGGGGGCAACCCCCTTGCCCCTCCCCCCTCGCAAAGCCCATGCTCGTGATTTTGAGCAGTTTTGTGGCTTAAATAAAAAAAATACAGCCTTTAATTCTTTAATCAGAAGGCCCCGCGATGGGTGTATTGCGGTTTAGGCTGAATTAAAATGATGTAGGCCTAGGCCTACTTAAAAATGGGGAAAATACGTTAAAACGCCATTGCCTAAGAACCCGCTCATTGAAACTTCAGTCTTTAATCATCCTAATTAAATCACCATGACGATTATTCTCTGTATTGTCACCATAACATCCTTTTCCCTAACGTCAACGATGCACAGCGGTCATACATTACAAATGCGGCCGCAGGCGGCAAGTTGTTTCCCGCCTTTTTGTCCCCGCCTTTTCTTTCCAAGTAGAGAGCTCTTAGAGCCATATCTGGTAGTCAGGTGGCTTCCGATCAGAAGTAGCTTGGCCTTGCAACGTGATACCATTCATCCTTTACGTCATCTTTCATTGATGAATCGCCACAGGTTCATCTGAGTACGTAAAGTGGTACATTGCGTAACCGTATAGACTTTCAATAATTATTGCAGGCGGGGTTGTTTCACGGAATGCGCAGGCGTGAGTCCGGGGAAGATATTAAAAGCTGAAAATGCTTGCAAGGTTTTCAGCACCTCTGCCTCCTTTCAAGCCTTGCATTTATCTCCGACGTCATTTAGAAACCTTGAATCTCCTAACCAAATAGGCTTATATAGATAATATCTATTTCCCCCTCATATTATAGGCGTCTATTATGTCCATGGAGTGCAGCGTGATATAGACTTTTATCATGCTCCACCATGTCAGTCACGTTCCCTGTATCCAATAACAGTGCTGATGATAATTTTTTGTGCAAAAAGGAACCAGACTATTTTCCCTTCCAGCCTCGCTTTGATATAACGTTGATTCGAATGGCATAAAACAAGATGGCTTGAACATGATAATGGTCTATTGAGCCAGAGTCTCTGGTTTATAGATTTCTAAGTCAGAAATCTAAAAAATAACCTGAAGGCAAAGCTGGCGACGAAGCGAGATTTTGAAACCTCTTTTTGGAAACCCAGCTGCTTATAAAAGTTGAAACCTTCCCGCATACTAAAGAATTGAAGACTGTAGGCCTAATTGACCAAACATCACCAGGTTCTATCTTGTCAAGCTGTTCGTGTTCCGGAGTCATGAACGATATATATCATTGCCAAGTCAGACTACCTTCAGCTGAAAAGACAGTCGTCTCATCTTGCAAAAGCATGCTTTACAATTAACCTAGATCCTTCGATCTATTCTCTATTGCTCGCCCGGCCCAGTGTTCAACGATCTGTAAAAGCTGTTATCTCTGATTCGGCACAAGGTTGTCATGAAACAAGGCAGGTGGCTGGACATATAGAACGGTCAATATACGTGCAGACATTCCCGGAAAGGCATCAATGATACCAGATGCGCTCGTGAGCTCCATCAAGGATTTTAAATTGACTGAAATCGACGAGGAATCCAAACCGAGCCAATCCGAACCGAGCCGAGAGGGACCAAAACCGAGCCGAGAGGAACCGGACTTAATTACCCGATTCGAACCTAACCAAGCTGAGATAAACCGAAGCACATCAGCACATACGAACCTTCACGAGCCGAGCCAAGTCATGCGGATCTCTACCAACTCCTCCCAATCCATCCCAACAAAACCCATCCCAAGCCAGCCCACCAAATCCAACCCAACCCAACTCATCCCAACCCAACCCAACCCAACCCATCCCATCCCAACCCAACCCAACCCAACCCAACCCAACCCAACCCAACCCAACCCAACCCAACCCAACCCAACCCAACCCAACCCAACCCAACCCAACCCAACCCAACCCAACCCAACCCAACCCAACCCAACCCAACCCAACCCAACCCAACCCAACCCAACCCAACGTTGTTTTCGTTTTGCTGAAAGAACACTTTTAATACTTTTTTTGTGATCCGTGGACGAACTTTAAAGCGGTGGTTGTGTTTAAAATTCCGTAACTTGCAAATTACATGAGTAATTTGAATGATTCTTGTACTTAATTGAAAGCTTATGAATTGGGCTTTCATAGCCTATATTTTGAAAATGCTACATGCAGAACTTCACTAAAACGATGGTCCCGACATTTTGATTTCATTTTTTTACTCACACTGTATAGGCCTAGATGTACGTCACAGTCGTCAACTTCTCAATGTACCCTCCTTGTTTCGGCCGTAAGGATGCTCTTTTTCTTGCTCTTCAATTGGTCATTAGATATCTTCGCGTCTCATTTTACACGACGAAACAGGCGATATTTCAATAACAGGTGAATTCTTTCGGTGCCAACACTTTTAAACCGCAAATCTAAAGAGAACGTAGACCAATACATTGTACAGGGTGAGTCAAAAAGAAAAGGGCCGAATTAGAAAGAAATTAAAAACATGTGTGACTCGCTCATTAACTGTAAAATTAACATAGGAACAAAGAACATGTTGTTGATTAGTAACTATAGTTAATTTAGTTGCAGAGGACTACTCTATTCACAAGTTATTTCTATTTTAACAGAAATACTGCTAAATTCAGATCAGCTACCTAACTCATCCATAGCATGTCCACCCCTTCCAAGCTGAGTGATGTTCCTGTAGGAGCTTATCAGCTATTTTAATCAAGATCAAGATCAAGAGCTGTCCACACACTGATAATTTACCGATACGCATTGATGAATACCCTTTAAATACAATGAAACAAGGAGGCTTTCCTTCCTCCACGGATGAACGAAAACTATCAAAGAAAAAAACAGACGAAAATCACCGTCATCATTAATTTTCAGACAACAAGGCTGGATTTGTTCCTCTTTTTAAAAAAATCACAAAATCTGATGGTAAAAATAATGTTTCAGTCTTGACTCAAATATTAAAGTTTCAATTGTTTTTTGGGGTGCCTGTGTGTTTAAAACTCTGGTTGTCGCTCAGCTGAATAGCTTCAAAGCAATCCATGGACAGCTGTAAAATCAATTCTTTTTTTTGTGGTGAAACATGCACAACCTCTGAAAGCAGGGAGCAATTACACTAATTCTGTTTTTCACATGAGTGAAAGAATATGCTTGTTTAATACATGCTCCATTTGTGTATTAAATGTAATTGCTTTTTAAGAGGAAACAATCATAAATCCAAGTCACTTTCTTTTTGACTCACCATGTATACACGGAAGATGTTCAGTCTAGGCGCTAGTACTAGCGTACCCTTCCCGTGTCTTGTGACATTATTAATATTATACTGGAAATAAAAAAACTATATAGAAACAGTACAATCACAGGTTAATTAACCTATGGCAGTAGAATCGCGTCAACGCAGCTTGTGAAATATTGTCCAATTACAAGTCACGATATACAAATGGAAGCGGAACGCACACAATCTGAGACAAACAAAACTTAGCGTATACACAATTCCATAGGGTAGTCTACGAGGCGTGCTAACTCGCAAACGGCAATAGGTCAATTATGAAAAACATCTTTACACGAATCTCGTTTGAAAGTCGATTCATTGCCGGCACGACCGCAGCGATAGATTAAACAGACATGCACATAATTTTTATATAATGTGTGTCGGTACAATTTAATTACACCCAAATTCGCCCCAATTTTTTTCTGAAACGTTGATAAAAAACTTGCAGGGAGGGAAGTTCGTGAAAAGAAGACGAGATCGAAGAACTGCACTCGGAATTAATTGGCTGAATTGCACTGGCGCCCTTAGTTTTCTCTTTTGAGTTTGTAATTGTTGCTGTACCTAGCAACGGAAAGGGGAAAATGATAACGGGGCGCGGGCGGTGGTCGTGTTTTCTATAAGGTATATATAATAATTGTGGAAATTAGGGTGTCGTCCCGGGATTGTTTTAAGATGCCAGACTTGAAAAATAGCAATAAGTGAAACGAATGTCAAACAATTCAGCTTAATTACTACTGACATTTCAAAAAGTGACGTGTTGAAAGTTATTCCTTTCCCTTCTAACTTCCACGTGTGGGTTAATATAATCTTCCATATGTAGCCTATAGAAGGAAAAAAAAATAAGAAATGCAAGCAGGCATTGAGAGGAAAAAATATTGCATCATCCTCTGTGGGTGTTGTAAGAAACCCTACATGTTGTTACATTGGATCACTATAAAACTGGTAATTGGATTTTTTTTGCGTTCGTATACAGAAAAAAATGTAAAAGGATACGATTTATTAGTGTCCAAATAACACATTTGCTCTCGAAAATCAGACGCGTGCAATTTGTTATCACAGCCTGAAACAAAAGAATATATCGTGACGTTAACGTACTGAAAGTGTGAGTGCAATGCTACAAAACCTGCAGTGGGCTTCACTTCAATCCAGAAGGGAAGCAGCCATCAAAACCACGCTGTACAAGATATCCCACAACCTCATTGCAAATAACAAAGATCGGTTCCTGACCCCCACCACAGATACCAGACTAAGAAACTAACATCCGGCAAGATGCCAGCTTCTCACAACCCATTCCTCCAAGTTCTAAAAGTTCTCCTTCATGCCTACAGCAGTCCGGCTCTCGAATGCCCTTTCTGCAGAGGTCATCACAGCTCCATCAGTTAATGACGTCTTCACGGCACACATGCATCTCTGCCAACTAGCTCCCAGATTGGACTTTTCACTCGCACTAACATTTTCTTTTGCACATGCTTTCCCCGGCTTCACATGCACATTAAGCTTCACCTCAGCGTCATCTTTGCTGAGTACCGGCGCATAGATACTCTGTAAAGTTAAGCATTACTGTCCCAAACCCTTTGTGGTATCTCCTCCCATATACTATTTCTTTTTCATTTTCCCGTGAAGGTAAAGCAGCCAGCGTATCTCTCCCGCCACAATGACCTGCAACAAGCTCCTAGCCACGGCCTGCCTGCTCCTCATCTACGCTGTCTGGACCTCACAGGCCGTCAACTACTACAAGCAAAACAAGGAAAACACCAACTACAGCCCACCCTCCCGCTCACGGCTCCCCTCTCAGGGCCAGACGGGGCCCAGCAACGCCCTTTGGATCCGGACCCGCGACGCCCCCACCGAAACGCTCCGATACCGGACGCCCATGGACCGCCGCATGGTGCCAGCATCGATGTTGTTCGGGGACAGGACCCCGGAGAAGCGGTTGTTCGAAGATCTGTTCCCATCGGACGACAGGTGAGGGTTAGGGCGACCTCAAGAGGAAGCTTTAAGTTCGGACTTAGACATTGGGAATCTTAGAAATTTAGAGGTTGTAGACAGATTTTGAGATTGATTTGAAGTTTCACGCAATGGAACAGTTTTTATCGGGCCGAAACCTGTATACGTGTTGAACAGGCAAGAAATTGTATGAAGCACGAACGCGAATTGACCTTTTGTCAAACGAGATGTGACGAATGATTGGCATTTCTGGGCACTTCGTGTAAAAAGTTACCAAATGCAGCCTACCCGTCGACCCGTTTTTGAGAAATGAGTGTCTTCGGAGTGAGCTGAGCTGGCATTTGGCTGGCAAACTACAAGGTTGTGATGTTTAAAACACCACAGTCCAATTTACACACTGTTTTGGGGTAACTGAAACAAAACCAAACAAAACACGAAAACAGCCCGTGGCCAGACTAATATGTGTTTGGTACCAAACTTTTTACGTATACCCAAAGTAGTTGGCAATCACTAGACTTGTCACAACTTGGATTCAGGCGAATCAATTAGTTGTCAAATTTTGCAGAACAAAATACTCAAATATAACAAAAGACCTTAAAATGTGTATCTGGTATAAACAAGAATTTGCAGACACGAGATCATGAGCCAGAGCTCAGTGACATGTTCTCCTCAGTGTTGTAGTTTGAGGTAGACCTATTCCTCTGTTACAAATATGGCGTTCCTTTGATATAGTTTGTCCCCGATTATTAACTTGTCAATAGACTTGTTAATTGACTTTCGATTGACTCGTGACCAGACTTGTGACGTACTTGCGATCCATCACACATTCCTCGACTACAGTGCCGGGTTTTTTTTATTACAGCGCATTGAGCAGATATCGACGCATTGCTGCCTTGCTGGAGAGCAAAGATGATTTCTAGACACGTTGATCATGACCGTTCATTCGGGTAAGCTAATTGTAACGTCATGTTGTTGATTGTTGATTTGTGTTGTCCGTGTTGTTTAGATATTGTGTTGCTGTTGCCATTGCCGCGCTGTCAATTTTAACACCAGAAATCACAGAGTGTGGTTATTGAGTAGAAATGGAGAAGATGGAAGAAGCAAACAATCAATACGAAAGAGCTTAAAGACACCACACACTGAATAAAGCTCCGAGAATAAAACCTTGGGAAGTGTTGGAAGTGGGACGTACGTCTGACAGATACAAAGCGGTACAGCCTGATAAAGGACAACTGTCATCGGGCGGTTAAGTCCAAAGTGACGCCTACATGTCGTCCTTTGTTTACTGTTACTGTTATGTTTCACCTGCTAAATTGATTGTCAGTAATTTGTATCATGTTTACATACAGTTGCTCAAAGCATATACGCAAGTATCTTTCGCACCTTTCCACACGTGTTGAAGCCACCTGCTTAATTTGAGCCGTACTCCACGGCCTATTACGAAAGTTAATAGCTGTCTACCTAAAGACGTGGCAAACGCGCGGCAAAACATGCATGTTCTGCCCGACGCACTACTTCCATCGCACCCTTGCACACCCTATTGACACTAGCGGTACAATTTTGCATGCGAAGCAGTGATGAGCCTATACTGCTTACCTAAAATGTAGTTTAGAAGATATTTTCCTTCAACCACATTTTAGAGGGTCAGTCTTTTAAGCACCGGCTTATATTTACAATTAAATTACTGTCTATGCCCCTACGTCGATCCCCTTACATGCCTTTCTGGTCTGGGGTGTCAAAATGCACACAGCCATAAACCCAAGGGTCCCTTGCCTGGATAGCTAGGCCCGCCAATGGACGCCCGTAGAATAATTTTGTAAGCAACCGTGTGTCTACTTTCATCAAATCTAACTAAACGACTTACAGTCACAATTTTTCAAACAAAATTTTACGACATTAACTGGCAGTGAATTCGGTTGAAATGTAATTAGGCCTATACAGAGTGTGCTAAAAGAGTGCATCATTCAGAAATCAAATATTTAAAATGTTTACTATTCTCTTCAATGAAATGTATTACATTAAAGCCTGGCTATTTCTCCATCCACTCCTTGTTACCCCATTCCAATTTTGGGTCCCTAGATCCAGAAATACAATAATTTCATTGAAGTAATTAAACAGTGAATTTTATTTGTTTTCTGTATTTTGCATTTTTTTGCACACTCTATAGTTGTAGATTCAAGAAATTCACACAGACAATAGCTAAGAAGTACTCTCAAATGGGAGCTGTCTAGATGAACATTTCATTGTGCTCAAAAAACAAAACGTGGAGGCTAGAAATCGATTATCACCAACAAGAAACAAGCTCATTGATTGACTAGCAATGAATCACAGGATATATTTCTTTTTCCCCCTCTTTTTTTTCAGATGGACGTGGACATCAGCTTTAGGCGTCAAAGGTGATTTTCATCTTGTCACCGAAGTTTGAATAGATTTGGGTTGAAGTATAGACATTCTTTCATTTTCTGTCTAAATTATGAGCAGTTATTGTGGAAAATAAGTTAAACACACATATGTATATTTCATTTAGTTTACGCGGACTGTAAGATTGATGGGTTTTTGATTTTGGAAATTATGCTAAGTTAGTTAAGAAAAAAATGATGGAGCATGAAAGTTGTGATTGTATCCCACCTGTATGCCTTTGATGTATTCAATATTATTTATGCATATTAATCATTTGTGTCATTGACTTTTGTGATTATTGCTATTATGAAATTATATAATGATGCACATAGAGTAGGAAGATCAAGGTTGTTACGACAAGTAATTAACATTCGCAAGCCAGGCGAGTCAGGAGACAATATATTTCAACTTGCTTAAACCTGCAAAAAAAAAAAACGTGTTTCAAAAATATACCATGTCGGGTTCCCTATAGCTGCAAGATGAATACGTATTGGGTATCAGAATGAAAACAAAACCGGTGCCAGACTCGAGTGACAGCCTCGTTCGAACTCGTGGAATTACAATATCGAGGTTGACCTTGGTGTGTGTATAGTAACATGACAGACGTTGTAAAAAATATATATTTTAATGTCCTGTGTAATCCACGTCTTTCATCGTTACACTCATAATTTCTAATTTGATTTGTTGTGAGCGAATTAAAATAAACATTCTGTTTAGATGTACTACTTTCGTTTTCTGCATTGTGTCTTGTTATAGACGTTCCGTATTTCGATATAATGACGTACGTTTCGCTGGCTTTTCGAAAAGATGGTTATTTGAAACATCATACAGGGTCAAATATTAAAATCCCGGAGTTGACATTTGGGTTTTTTTTCGACATATGAAACACAGCTATCTAAGCAGCAGTGTTGTCATCACCAATAAGCCGTTTGCGAGTTAAATTTGAATAAAATCTGGAACGCTGACTTAATCCAATGCTTTGCACATTTTAACTTTGCATTCTCCCGACCAAAGAGACTGTTACTATATCACGTGATTCGTGGCAAGCCTTATGCTAGCAACCCACAGCTCCAGAATGGTCTGGTGTCTTTGTGCCATCATGGGCTCACCCATTGTGAACAATGCATTGGTGATAAGCGTCTCTTACGTAACTATGCAAGAGCTTCTCCCGAATCATGTGATTAGCAACTCAGTGACGTCTTTGGTCTGGATAATTCCAAGTTAAAATGTGCCGAACATTCTGAGCGAGTCAGTGTACCAGATGTTTTTCAAATTTAAATCCCAAAGGGTATAGGTCACTCGCAATGGCTTATTCATGCAGGGCTGCCCGCGTGATTTTTATTCCTAGGAGGGTTAGGGGCAATGTCATGAATAATTCATGTTTATCCATGAGAACGGACAATGACATCAACAGCATTGTTGTTAGTTACTCAACTAGTTACAATACATTAAAGCATTTTAAAGAACGGTTGTCGTCGAGCTACCACACAGTAGCCTAGTGGATAGCGAGTTGAGCTATGGATACAAAGATTCCTGGTTCGAATCCACGTCGTCGCTGCTCATTTTCATCAGCTATTTTTCTTCTCCAAATTTATCACTGAGATAATTTTAAATTAAGGGGAAAATAGAACGACAACCTAAGTCTTGCAATGATTCAAAGGAAAAACTGAATTATTCATGACATTGCCCCTAACCCTCCTAGGAAAAACAATTACGCGGGCTGCCCCGGGGAAAATGAAGACTCATAAAATGGGACATGATGAAAATTCTCAAATGGGATTAACAGGCAATTGGTCGATTTGGGGTCGATCCGTAAAACCGATTGGAACTGAAGAAGCCAAAATGCATCAACACTATCCCGCCCGAGTGGCGACTCTTCTGCTTGGTGCATCTATGTCCAAAACATTACCGATAATATGATCTGACAGTTCAATTAGGAAACTGCTCAAAGACATTTCACAACTGTTGGCTGCTGTGAGGCAAAATGAAGTGTCAGACAAGTCTGGACCTTATGCACCAAGCCAGCGGTACATGGCAATGGTTTTGTGTATCACTCGTATAGGATAGGCATGAACAACTATATACAGTGAACACCCTCTGAAGATATCCCTAACAAAAAATAATGGCCTATCCGGTGACGTATACACATTGGTATTAACAATCTTTCCCGAGACTGATCTAGACCAATTGAAAATGCAATATTCCTAAACACGATAAGATAATATAGTTAGGCACTGATATTTTCCACTTTTAAACCCTCAACGGTTGACAACCTGCTTACTTACCCAAACACTATCCTTATTATATTAGGCCTACCCATGACTTCCTTGTCATTGATTACGTGTAATGAAAGAAAACTGAAGTAAATAAAAAGCCATACATTTTTTTCTGGTTACTTAAACATTTTGTGTCATTCAAATGGAAATCTACTTCCATTTCGTTCCATACAGCATTCTGATATTCGCACTATATCTTCGGTATAATGCGCCCCGTGACACGGTGGAGATTTGCGTTAGCAGGGTCTGTAGGGTCTTCATAAGACAAGACAAAAGAAAGTTTTGCATAATGCACAAAACAATAGACTCATTTGCATATCAACGAAACTAATCACCCTATCAATGGATTATGTTAGCATATTAAAAGAGCGCATTGGCGTATGTACGTTTTTTTCAGACAAAGGAGGGGTCTGAAAATTTTATTGGACAAAGGGGGGACCCACCCCCTAGATGGAATATCGGACAGAGGAAGACTTGAACTGGAATATCGGACAGAGGAAGGCTTGAACTGGAATACCGCACAAAAGGGAGACGCTGGTTGAAGTATATAGTACAAAGACGGGTATCAAACGTTTGAAAATGACTATAAGAGTATCATTATTTTGTATTCATTCAAGCAGTGTGCTAACAGTGAATGAGAAAAATAAAAATGGAGGCCACACCAACAGAGCGCCAATTAAGTCAACTCGCTGGAAATCGCTTGGAAAAAAAATGTTGTTTTTTTACTCTGGGGGCAATGTACACGTTCTATGGGGAAATGTGGGGCGGTTTGATGAGCAATGAGAATCCATTGTAAAGGGTATTCAATAGAAAACCTGATTAGCGGATGCATTGTGTAGGGATCATATATGAATTTGTTTGTCATTTTGGATGAATGGCATAGGTACGACGGCGATCGGAACAATATAGGCTCATTATACTTAATTATCAAAGCAACAGTAATTAGACAAGCCATAAAAGATGATACTATAATTCACTGATGGGATTAGGATGACATTAACGGTACCCGGTTCGCTTTTTACATGGTCACTAGGACAAAGGTTTTACATGGAGAGCTATTTTGGTACACACCACGAATTTCCAAGTTACTAAGCAGTTCACAGAAGTGGAAATAATTCAAAAGATGTTACAGTCCATAATAATGTTCTCGGTATGAACGAGTGAGATGTGGGCATACATCGTTTTAGAACGTATTACAAGTGTGTGGCCATAAGGGTCATTCATCCCTACTTCAAATGAGTTTACTCTCTGTAGACAACCAAGCACATGTGTATGTATGATATAATGATAATACATTTTTAAATAATCCCTGAAATACAGTGTAAATAGACCTCATTTCCATTCTCTCAATATTTATTCTTTATACTTCAACACTTCCTCCCCCGCATTGCTCACAGAACGTGCACAAATGGTCAAGCAAGTCCTATATAGACATTAACGCTAGTAACGTCTGAATCCATTCACGGCTAGTGGGACACCATGGATTTTACTAATGCAGGTAATTGAAGCGATTATAACTGTGACGATTATCCCCCCTTTTAGCTTGACATGCGCTGTTTGCGGGATAAACGAATTGATCCGAGGCATTCATTGCAAGCGATGGTCGCAGATAAACATGAACCTCCCATTCACTGACCCATTGCATGCATTGTAAGCGGCAGAGCGGCTCCAATAAATTACGGAGGTTCCAACTACATGTGCATTTAAAAACTTTGGTCCTAGTTACCATGCAAAAATTAGCGAACTGGGTACCGTTAATGTCATCCTAATCCCATCAATGAATTATAGTACCATCTTTTACGGCTTGCCTAATTACTGTTGCTTTGCTAATTAAGTATAATGAGCCTATATTGTTCCGATCGCCGTCCAACCTATGCCATTCATCCAAAATGACAAACAAATTCATATAATGATCCCTACACAATGCATCTGTTAATTAGGTTTTCTTTGAATACCATTACAATGGATTCTCAATGCTCATCAAACTGCCCCCACATTTCCCCATAGAACGTGTACAAAAAAGGGGCGAGGCACTACCTATACTGCCCCCACTGTGCTACTACTCCATTTTTCCCAGAGTAAAAACTTTTTTTTGTCACGCGATTTCCAGCAAGTTGACTTAATTGGCGCTCTGTTGGTGTGTACTCCATTGTTTGTTTTTTTCACTGTAAGCACACTGCTTGACTGAATTCAAATGAAACTCAGTCATTTTCAAACGTTTGACACCTGCGTCTTTGTACCATATATTCCATCCAGCGTCTCCCTTTTGTCCGATATTCCAGTTCAAGCCTTCCTCTGTCCGATATTCCAGTTCAAGTCTTCCTCTGTCCGATATTCCATCTAGGGGGTGGGTCCCCCCTTTGTCCAATAACATTTTCAGACCCATCCTTTGTCCGAAAAAACTTACATACGCCAATGCGCTCTTTTATTATGCTAACATAATCCATTGATATGGTAATTAGTTTCGTTGATATGCAAATGAGTCTATTGGTGTTTGTGCATTATGCATAAAATACTTTTGTCTTGTCTTATGAAGACCCTACACACTACTTGCGTTCTGTTGGAACTTGGAAAAAGCAAAGTCGTAGAAGCGATGTTGTGGAATGAAATGAAAGTACGTATTCACTGAATTTGATACAGTACTATAAAGTAATGGGAATAACGGCCTCGGCGACTCCTTTGATTTAAGAAAAGGAAGACATTTAGAGCAAGTTGTTATGTTTTATTTACCGTCTGACTCATACATTAACAATCAATAGAACAAGAGAAAACCGCGATACAAGGTGAAAATAAAAGCCGTTCACCTGGTGTTTTTTTTTTGAAAATCTGCACAAAAATGACAAAGTCACGGCGGATCTGTTTGATAAATAACTAATCCGTACGAAGGTGAGACGGAAACGGCTATTTGTTTTCCCACTTGCAAGCTGCTAAAAATTTCAAAAGTTCATTTTAGTTGGAGGGAGAGATTAGTGGAAGTGGCACGTGCGGGGCAGATTCACACCATCTTAGGACCCGGGGGAGTGGGAGACGTGACGGGGGCAAAGTGACCCGATGGAGCGGTCAGGAGGGTCTTTTGTAACACCAAAAAGATCGTGACAATCATGAGTTTGCTCGTCATCGGGACAAAACATATTTTATGCATTACATTAATGTCTTCAATGTATGCGAAGTGCCATGCTAAATCCAAATGGAGTTTGTGGCATATGGACGAACGTTTTGGTTGACACAAGACATTTTTACTAAAACTTTAATGATCTTCGTTCTATAATTGAATATACAGAGTGTGCAAAAGAGTTTATATATTTTTTCCAATGAAATCATATATTAAATAAGCCTGATTATTGTCTCAATCCACTCTTGTTACCCCATTCCATTTTTGGGGGTCCCTTGATCCAGAAATCCAATCAATTAAGTGAAAGGGTGTAAATTGTACTTGTGCCACTCTCACT